AAAGTCACATCAGCAGTTGTTCAGCCATATCATAATTAGACAGGTTTTACACACATATTAATATTTTGAAATAGCTTTAATGAGAAGACAGAAATGTTTTCTTACCCATTTTCTTGCAAGCCTGTGCTGATATTCCACACAACAAGTGTACAGACCCAAAATGTTACATAGTATTGAACAGATATCGTACCTCTTCTCCGTCGACGTTCACTGAAAGATAACAAAAACGTATTACTGCAGACTATTATAGGGTTGTTTTATACATTGTGTAGCAATATCCCCTAATGTTACACATTGTACACGTAGATTCAGTCAGGGTCAGTGCTATATTTAGACTTGTACTGGATTCAGACAGAAAGATCTCGAAAGTACTGCAGGGTGCTGATTCCGGTGTCTATTGCCTCCAAGAGCAATGCTTTTCCCTTTATATATAGGAGGAGCTGGCTCTTGCCTCTCATGTCACATGACAAAAATGCATTGTGTGATGATCATTATACCTGGATACTCTGCCCAGTTGCAAGCGGATTATAGTTGCTGAGAGGTGAATATCGCAGATCTTGGATTAAATTGCCTTTGGGTTTGTATTGCTATTATTGTGTACTGCCATTAGAGCGATACGTTTGTATTGATTTGTACTAATTTGTGAACTTAAAAACAATTGTCTCCAAATTACTTTGCTCGGATGTTTTCTGGTTTCACACAAAGTTCTCTTACTCACTGATTCTCGGTTTAGTTCTATGTTCAAGTTGGGAGTCAACAATTCATACCCTCACATGACAGAAACACAACAATGCATACTGATTTCGCACTACAGATGAAAACTGTTTATTCAACCCTAGAAATCTGATGGGGAGCCAAAGAACTTTGTGAAAGCTTGACTGCCGGTGAGTGATGCTTTTGGACAGTAGTACCTAAAATAGTGGTAGAACATTGCTCTTTGTTATAAAAATTACAGCGCTCTTTGTTTAGTGAGTGAGTGAATGAGTTTACCTCTACGCCGCACTCAGCAATTTTCCAGCTATATGGCGGCGGACTGTGAATAAAAGAGTCTTGACCAGACAATCCAGTGATTAATAGCATGAGCATCGATCATCGAACTGATGATATGTGTCAACCAAGTCAGCGAGCCTGACCACCCGATCCCGTTAATCGCCTCTTACAACACGCATAGGTTAGTGAAGATCAATATCCTAACCCGGACCTTCACGGTTTCAACCCACAGAAAGTAAGGGCGTGCTTGTCTGGTGTACACACTGGAAAAAAAGTCCACATTTACAAGCCCGATCCCGTTAATCGCCTTTTGCGACAAGCATGGGTTACTGAAGATGAATAATCTAACCCGGATCTTCACGGCTATTTTGTTAAGTGAATATACAGAACGGGTATGAATGTTTAGCTGTATCATGGCATCTCAGTTACCTGGCTACGTCACCTCTGCACAAAATTTGAATAATTATTTAATCTATCATACTGGGCTTAGTGTAATGGTGTTCAGAGCTATCAGTAGAATAGAGAATGTCATGAAATAAAAAGATTTAATATTCTATACACGAACCATATATAGATAAATAAAGATAAATGCATATGTACTTACGTTTTCAACCGTAATCTTATCGTTCTTGGATTTAAAAGGCTACATTAATGACTTTTTGTCGTCACAATATGGCTAAAAATATTGGTCATGTGATGTAAACTTTTAGCTCACTCACTCACTCTTTTAAAAAGTATACCTCCTAATTATGTCTGTCTGTGACGAGACGAACAATCACAACAGTCATCTGGCCCGCTGGTATGGCATCCGTGTAATCAGCGCAGCTATATCCTTGGTATAAACAGGTCCAACTGTCGATGAGGCCAGTAGTTGAAGTGAGCCATACCAGGAAGTTTGACAGTGCATGGCATTGTTGACAAATGCAATGCGAGCAGGCCGATAAGAGTAATCGTGTTCAGCGCACACACTCTGGGAAAGCAAACACAAATTATTTACAGCTAGGTAACTGTCTTCGATCAAATTTTTCCAGCATGAGTAACAACGAATACTTTGGATGTCAAGGAAGAAAAATTTGACTCTCCATGTCAGTCAAACGCAAAGTGCTATTGAAATTCAAAAACATAAAGTGCCAGCCCTTTGTAAACGTCAATATAAAACCAACAAACTATTGCATTCTGGCCACGTACACATGGTTCGACTGACTAAAGTCCAGAGAAGCGTTGTAATTCGAATATGGCAGGCCGGATCAACGTCAACTGCAGCGGGGGGACTCTGATTCTAGTTATGTACAAGCGTCGCTGATTATAGTATATACTCACGGGAAAATGTAACTGTGCATTGCATAAAATTGCATAAAATAAAGTTATTTGAAAAGTTACAAATATGACCCTAAATAAACATTTAGCAAAAACACTTTGCATGAAATTTGATATCACGTATTCACATGATATTATAAATTGAAGAACGGTTGATTATTCTCTCGGCTCTCTAACACTATGGAAAACACGTTAACTTCAACCTAAACTGCGTGCACGTCATGCCACAGAAAGCGCCGTGGTTTTGCTTGACACGGTAATGCCCAAAAATTAATAGGCCCGACATTTTGGTGTCCATCGAAACACGATCCCATCTCTGTGGAGACGTTTTCAACATAACGGGAATAAGAGACAGCAAGACAACTACATTCGGCTGACCCATCTAAGGAATCGATTCCAAACTGCAGGTTTGACAGCTTAGACCATTCCTGGGTTATGTCCAATCAGTTCCAGGACTGTACGGAACCGACTGAGGGAGCACAGCCTCCGGTACCGACGGCCTGTAATACGTCCAATTTTACACGTCTTGCCTGGGTAAAAACTTCTACGGTACAGGAGACAAGTTTGGGATGTTGTTTCTTTCACTGACGAGTCGAGATTTCATAGGGACAGCTCAAGTGGCAGGGCAAGGGTGCTCAGAGGTCAATGGTATGCTGACGCATGCGTAGTTCGGCATCAACAGTTGCAGCCGTTCATTCAAGGACAGAGACATAACTTCACGCTTCAGCAAGATAATGCCCGTTCACATGTCGCTCGTGTTGTAACAGATTTCCTGAGACAGAAGAACATTACAGAACTCCTCTAGCCTGCTGTTTTTTCCGGACCTGTCTCTTATGGAGCACGCTTGGGGTGAAACTGAGCGACGTTTACGACAATCCCAGAATCAGCCATTGACGTAGCTGAATTGGGACAAGCGTTGGTTCAGTCATTGAACCACATTCCCCAAGTTTTCTTCAATCGCTCAGTGTCATCTAAACGTCGTCGTTGTCAAGCCTGCGTCAACGCCAATGGTGGACACGCATGATACTGGATTTGACACTTTTTGACACCACATCTCTTTAAGGGCGTGTCACAATGCCTACTGTCAAATCACAGGTGATTTCGATATTATCCTGTCAACAGTTAAACAGTGATTAAAGAAAACACTACAAGCCTTGTTGTTATCTTTTTGCATTACAAAATGGCATAATGCACAGTTGCTTTATTGCATTAGTATACATAGCGTTATGTGAAGGTGTAGTAAGTGTACAGCCCAACAATCACTTTTCAGGAGAAGTGGTGACTCACGGTGAATCTGCAAGTTATCTTATGACATGTGTATGTCTTCTTCCTTGGTAGAAACATGACATGTTCTGGCGTTTATTCATCCAATCATACGTACGTACTGGCATAGATGTAGTAGGAAATTATAATTTAAATGAATACTAATTTGGTTGAAATGCAGTTGCTGCGAACTGACACCAGCCGTCTGACACCGAAGACACGTCCAGTGTTTGATTCCGGCTGTGTCAACACAGTGCGTGTGAATTTAAATCACTGTGGTAGACGTCTTAGCCTGTATCGCACTGGTTTTCCTTCCTTAACACTGCTTTTGCCAAGGAAAATGTGCATGTATTCCATGCCGTGAAAATACATGCACATGTGCCCGTTGACTTGCGGTGCAACACACAGCTCAAAGACTGTGACCGCTGTTCATCGATTAAATCATGCACTTCTCGGATATTGTGCGGAATGTATATCTCATTCAGTGAATGTATTTTTGGATGAAAAAACATGAGTAGCCTTTTCAAATGTGCATGTATGGAAATGCCGTTTAGCAAGTTTTCTTAAGGCTTGATTAATAAGGCAGGAGACGCCTGGCATGAACCCTACCACAGATCCTGAAGGATAGATAAACGTTGAGTGATGACTAGTAGAGTTACGTCCCTTATGGAGAGTCACAAAATGCTAAAGCGTCTGTACGTTAGTCTACTCACATTCCTAATGGTGAATATACAATGGCTGGTAGTAAGTGGTCAAAAGTAAGTAAAAGCGACAAAACCCTTTCCCCATCCACAAATAGTACAGTCAAATGTTCAATTCTGATCATATTATGAACACATGTTTGTTTGTTTAACTCTGCACCCATTAATATTGCAGCTCTATGACGGCGGTCTGTAAGTATTAGCTTATGGACCAGACAATCCAGTGACTTACTTGAGATACAACGATGATGTTATATTTGGGATCACATTCAGTAAGGCGAAGCAAAAACATTCCAGTACTTTGTGGGGTTTCATTCTCATCAAGGACTCGAGCACACGAAAATGAAGCACCTCAAAGGCATTGTGTATTATATGAGCATAGCATTGGCCATCGGAGCCATGACATTTACTTCAGAAGTTCGTGTTCTGGACTACCTGTTCCAATTTAGTGGCAGAGTGATCTGGATGTGTGACTTTCTTGGTAGGGAAAGGTGAGACTAAATTGATATACATATTTACAAAAAGTACATATGTGCCATGTGAACACATAGCAATAGTGGTGCCCCTAAGCACCGGCCTTAACCCAAGGTAGACTAAAGATAAGACCCTCTGTTCCCATGCCTCTCTATCGATGCTTATACATCAAACATCATGACAAGAAACAAGTCTTGAATATTCAGACAGTACAAAACACTTCAATATCTCCAAACGAACGAAACAAAACCAACAGTTGTGCAAGAATATTTATATTTTGTATTATAATTTGGCATACAATATGTAACTATTTAATGACGATCAAGATGTCTACATTTTTGTGTGATTTAGTTGCACTAACGTACTGTATTTAAATTATCAATGAATCTGCACTCACATTATTATTTTATTGATTTGCACAGATGAGGCAACATGTGACAGTTGTATGGGATGTAATGGTAGTTGAAGCATAATGGCACTCCGACAAACACATCTCCAACTGCAGATAAATTGCATAGTGTAGAATCACGCTCTCATCTCATCAATCATCGGAGTCGGACGGTTTCAATAAAAGAATTATTCTTTGATGTGAGAAATTATAAAATCCTGAAATATATATTTGTCAAGTATAAAGAACATGATCCATATTTTGGTCAATAGATAGTAGTGAAATGAAGCACAACCATAACGTCATAAATACGAAAATATAAATTTACAACGCATACGTTTGTTTAACATGATGCATGTTTCAATCTAAATGTCAGTATTCCCATTTTTACTTATGTAATTCAAAGTAAAACAATGTCATATGATAGCTGAGCATCACGACCACGTGTGTGTTAATCACCCTACATTCATCGGGAAGTTCCAACAATAACCAGAAAGGTGTGACAATGGCTGTGATTAATATTTTTTATTTTCGAGGCATATTTATAGAGGGGTTGGATATGTTTCGAAAAAAATAACAAAACATTTGTTGCTGACAATTCGAGCTCTGTAAGGTCAAATTATATTCAGGAATGTTTGACAATTTGAATTTGGCTTCAGGAGTTAAAAGGCTCGAATACTGACAAATACCCTTTGCTGCAAAATGATTATTCCAATCTTGTCAAAAGCGAGATAATTCTATTAAATCAAACAGACGAAGGGTATATGTAAATGCTTGTCACATTCCCTTTTGCGAATTTTGGACTTGCGGAACTTGAGTCGTACCCCTCACATGTACAGTCATGTGTTTGCTGGAGGATGCTAGGTCTATATCCTCGCAGTGACAATGTTCCTTTAACAATTGTTTTCTTTGTTGTTTCATGAATCTTTATCTAACGCAGCACCCAGCAAGATTCCAGCTATATGACGGTAATCCAGTGACTGGCATCATGGGTATCGATCAACCAGTTAAATAAGTTTGACTACCCGAACTGTCAGTCCTCTTTTACGACATGCATGGACTGCTGAAGATGATTTTCAACCCGGGTCTACGCAAGTATTTGTTGAAACTATAGATTTGTATAATTTTTAAAAAAGTATATGCATATGAGTGATGTTTGTGACCGTAATCCGGTATTCAATGTTCTTCACGTATGCCACTCGATGTCATGCTGGACATAACTTGTGGAGTTTCGCAAATGCTATCAATACATTCATATATGTTTGTCTCGTCCGATCGACGAGTCTGTATGGAACAGTATGGTTCTTCATCAGGACCTCTATCGCGTAAGTTGACATCAAGCTTGTCATACGTCATGTCATCGAACTGACGATTGTTGTCTTCAGGTGTTGTTTTTGCAGGTTTAATGTTTTCATATGAACCTATGTTGTAGCGTACAGCTTGATCTGAGATCTTCGGTTGATCTCTGTAATAAATAAACATCAATGTATGAAAATCAAATGACTCGCTCAAACAAACACTACAGTCCATTAATCAATAATCGGGTCAATTCATTTGGTACAAAATACATTTCAGAAATAACCTGAAAGACACCCGAGCTATCTTGTTTTCCTAATCACTGCTGCATTGAGATCCTGAACATGTTTTACCTTGTCAGAGTGAGTGAGTATGGTTTTACGCTGCTTGTGACAATATTCCAGCAATATCACGGCGGGGACACCAGAAATGGGCATCACACATTGTACCCATGCCGGGTATCGAACCTCGGTCTTCGGCGTGACGAGCGAACGCTTTAACCACTGGGCTACCCACCGCCCCTCTAGCTTGTTAGGAACAATGTCAAAACACTGGCCTTTTTTAAATGTCCACAGGCTAGTGTTGGTATATATATTGTCTCACTTATGAAGATAATTTCTCAAAATACAAATACTGTTTAAACTGTTTTTCTTAGATTTAAGTATAATGACGGTAACTGATATTCCTTTAAGTTTTAACCAGTGGTACATCATGTTCACTGAATTTAGTGTTCATATCGATAATGCATAATAGACAGGTTATTTCAGGAAAATATAGTACCTTTGTTTCCTCTTCCAGACAACTACTCCAATGACAATGCCAGCAACTACAACCACAGCGGAGGCAGTAACCGACACAATCAGTACAAGGTTTCCTGTACGAAGATGTTTTGATATCAGAACTTGATTTTTCATGTGCAATATGACATAATATTCCTCTTACCAGGCCTAATGACCAATCAATTACTGTCTGATAAAAGAATCGATCATATGTCTGACGCGGGGATATATTATTACTGATGATATTCATACTGCTGACAAAAGACACATTATACCTCTACTCTAGAGCCGACCTTTTTAATTAACAATCAATCAGTATAAATGAATGCTATTGTTAAAGTTCGTATCTGGTTTTAACTATTCCACGAGTGACGTTACGTGCACATTGTAGACAGAAAGATAGATTGTTTATGAAAGTCTCATCTCAATACAATATAGATACAATACAATATAGATACAATACAAAAAAGCAATAGAAGATTAAGCCGCTCCTGTAAGGAATAATGAGAGATTAAGTTCTGTAAAATGTACACAAAGATAAAATATTATTGTATAAAACGAAAAATGTTATAATGAACATAAGCAATTAAATTATAAAGCTGGATTAGGTATTACATACATATGCCTGTGCATACACATAACACTCACGTTTAGAAAGGATAGATTGGCAGGTTTTGGCAGCAATAAAACACACATTAGGGCTGGATAAGATATAATCTAAGATGCTCCGATGAAAGATCAAAGGCGCCGACAGTACTTTATCAGACGATAATGTGCACTTTTTGATTTACGTCACAATGGCAGTGACGTCAATAGAGCAGTGCGTCAGTTTCTTAATTTAGGTCGCCTTAGATTAATCGTAATTATACTTAGAAAGTATTATATTTGGCATCTTAGAAAAGAAATACAGTTCGCTCTACCACCATATATAGTGTATTGAAGCGTCCTCGTGCTTTAACTATTATAGTTCAGGGTGAAAGTGTGCTTTATTACATGGTGATAGAGCGAACTGTATTTCTTAAATATAACTTTTGAATGTCATTAACAGCATCAGATTCATCATTACATTTGTTATTTCAAATAGACCTTTCATCCATACACAATGGACATTTCAGTAAAACGGCACTCATCTTCCACCTCATCCTCACAGTATAAACAAACTCTCTCATTTAACACAGCGCCATCACACCAGACAGTCTCAATCACATCTAACATTAGCTATCGCTCTTCTGTGTGACCTGGGGGTGGAAAACTCTACATAATGTGCAACATTAAAATAAGTCTCAAAATCACAATACAATATACCCGTAGAACTAAAAGGCTGTGATATTTCCTGTCTCCACTGAACAATAAACCTTCAGAAACAACAAATTTAATATGATAATTAAAAGAAACATTAGCAAGGGAGATAAATCGGAAATTAATTTCGTGAATTATAGAATGGCATTAGGGCCTATAAGTCTCGCGAGGATCTGCTTCCGGTCCTAAGCTGGTTCCCGGCTCCTTTTGCGCGTGCCAACTTGCAATATCCGAGACGGGGCCCAGCTTACTTCAGGTACCAGAGTTTCGGGCGTATCTTCAAGAACCAGTTTTGGTTCCAATTAGCCAGTTGCGCGACCGCCAAATATGACTTTACTTGACCGGACCAAGTGTAAAACCATGCTCAGCTGTCCAAGATTTTGACAGAGGTAACAGTTGGCTGATTTGGGAATGGTTAGATCGAATTACTTTTAGTCCCAAAAGGGTTATCGGTTCCTTACAGTCAACTGACAACCACGAGACTATTAAAAAAGGTATGAAACGTTGTTTGTCACCGGAAGTATTAAGGTCTCGCGTAGTGCCGCGCCCTACTTACAGGCCCTATTTGTAAATTCTAGCTAGTTAACGTTTCCTATGTAACACCAAATATATACATATCGTAGCATGCCAGTATTCTAGTGAACGTGGCTCTTCATCTGTTGTTCACAAGTCTCATGAAAGTATTTATATTTTTCACGAAATATAAACTCTAGAAATGCTTTTTCTGGAGAACAAAATGTTTTAGCAGTTTAACAGGGCTTTTTTCAACATTGATACACATTCATCTTTATATACCCCTTATGGATTCTGACTTTTATGTTGTATTTACCTGTACATCAGATTTTGTGAAAACATCCAGCATATTATCTATGCATTGTCTATTTCGATTATGATTGCTTGAACAATTGAAATGTACAGTAACGGCTAGCCATTCTCAGTTTAACGAAAACTCAGGTAAAACAATACCGGTAAAAGGAGAGGGTTTGCACGTCTCCACTCCATCTGAACAAACGACATCGCTTCTCTGCTGAGCTCCATTATAGGCGACCACAGTTATGTAAAACTTTCCACAAGACGGTGCTGTCCATGTGGCTTCCGTAGTGCGTGTTGATTCCATCTGTCATCAGAAGAGTAACTCCATAGTAAATACACCTCCAATGTACCCTCATAGTGGATATGTAAAAGCAAACCTGTGTTTTAGCATTGATACCAACGGAAATGTATTCTGAAGAACGAAATCTTCTTAGCGACTCATGCTTGTCGTAAGAAGCGATTAAGGGATCGGATGGTCAGGCTAATTGACTTGGTTTATGCATGTATCCCAATTGCGTTGATCGATGGTCATGTTGACAATCCCTGTATTGTCTGGTCAAAGCTCGATTATTTGCAGACCGCCTTCATAGAGCTTGGATATTGCTGGGTGTGGCGTTAAACAATAAACAGACATATTCACCACAAAGAACAATGAAACACTAACGTTTTTTGTGCTATTAAGGTCAAACTCGTGTCCCTGTAAACATCTTGGTCCAAACGTGTACTGGTAAAATGCAATTGCACTCTCTCTGTCAAAGAATCCTTCCCAGTGGGCGTGGAGCTGTAGACTGTCCTGGTAGTCCACTTCCGGTTGTCCAGACTGACCATCGTAGACAAAGCCAGATTGAGGGTGACTTGCATTCACCTGGATCTGATATAGATATTATTATTATTGTTAGTTTCAATTCTAATCCGTAACATTGAAGTGAGTAACCATATTAGATTGAACAAACACACTTGACATACTTGGCTCGAACCTCTGAGTGAAAGCTTTTCCGATCGAAGGTTAATTAATGCTTACCTTGGTTTATTGTTCTGTGTTAAAAGATCTTATAACTTCATTCCTTAACTTTGTCAATGTGCTACAAGGCAATGTGTGTGTCTATTGATGTTTCTTTTTTCAAACCACGCAAACGTTGATCAGTCCTTTTTTGACAATTAGGAGTTGATTCGTTTATGGATTAGACGGTAAATCAGTTCTTTGACACAGCTGATGTCACATACAAAAACAATTTAGCCATTTACCTTTACTTTCTGTTCACTTTTTAGCTTAGCATTTAGCATGATTTGTAGCTGTGACTTGAAACCAGTAATCCTTCCCTTCAGCCAACTTTACGTCCCTTATGTCTGCCAGGGCTGGTTTCACTTGGAAGTTGGAATGATAACATGTGCCAGCTGGAGTACAATAACAGTTACCATCCCTTGCATCATGCATGGTCTTGCAGTCATCCAGAGTCTGGAATCATTCGTTCATAAACACATCAAATTTGATATAGAACTTTAATTTCATGAGAATCATTACTTTCTATTAAGATTCAGTTGTTTAAAACAGAGGGGTGATAGATAAGAGTTCTATTGGTTTCTGATGTCACTGTACCATTCGAACCCAAATTATACCGCCTCCGTGGTGTAGTGGTTAGAGCGTCCGCCCGGAGAGTGGAAGGTCGCGGGTTCGATCCCCAACCGCGTCATCCCAAAAGACGTTAAAATATGGTACTTGTTGGTCCCTGTCTGGCACTTGGCATTAATGGGTACAACAAGGACTGGTCGGCTCGGAGTCAGTATAATGTGTCTGAGTGGGGTATTCATGCTTCAATGCGGCATGGCATCTCAGTGGGCTAGCACTATAAAACCATCTTCAGTCTGGGCTAGTACAAGCAGCCGCATTTACACATACACACGTCGTCATATGAGCGAAATATTCTCAAGCACGACGTTAAATCCAATTTCACCTAACCTCACCTCGGACCCAAATTATTGAAGCCAAGAGCGAACAATGACATACTCCATATCCTTGAACCGAGATGTGATGGACAGCTACAGCAGTGTCTTCATCTTGCCGTTTTTCTACGACTCTCCATTCCAACGTTTCCACTCCACTGTGTTCATCGCGCACATCAAACTCCATTCTAGAGTCAGATAAACATATGCTTGATAGAGAGTGTTGCATGTTTTCGGATAGATATTCGTGAATGCAGTTATTTCACAACTTTATTCCTGACATATTTAATTTCACATAATGTTCAAGCTTCAACATGAAGTCGTGTTTGCAGTCGTGCTGTGACGTTTGGAAGATGAAAATAAAAAACAGAACTGCCAAATGGCGAAACTACAATAAACGTTCTTACTTTACATCATGAAGTTCCTCCACCCAATATATACTGATGTTGAGACTTCCGCTTCTGTTAAGCCAAAGGTTCTCCATGACTGGAGGTGATGTGTCGATGTGGACTGTCACATGTTCTTCATTGAATTCGCTTCTAATGTCATAGGCTCGCATCCAGAAGCGTACAGTGTCCCCGTCCACTAGTGAGGATGTTATGGTCTGTGACTGATTCAGACCTTGACTGGTGAACAGGTTTTTAGCTGGTGGACTGGTGATGGACGACCCTCCTTGGTGGTCGACTTTGTATGACGTCAAGAATCGTGTTACACCTGTTGAATATTAAAGACATCCTAATTTATCAGAAGAGGGGAAACAGATATGATGTCAGCGTTAAAATTGGCAAACAAAATGATTATATATCTTTCTATATGGCAGTCACAATAAGTGGCGCATTTGAATTAGCGTATGCATCATGGATAAATTATGCGAGACAAATATTTGGCATATTGTGTGATGGGTGAATTATGTGTCGATTGATTCCGCAACGTATTTCTATTCTGTGTAAACATGCTTGTAAATCGTGCCAACCCTGAACATTGTTGATGGCAGCCACACTTCTGTCACCCTCCTTATCGTCATAGTCCGAGCTGATGTCACCAACAGAAGCCACGCCGTGGAGCCACTTGTTGTTGTGGTGGACTGTGTTGATGTATCTGTTGGTCCAATCTACTGTCACTGCTGATGACGTTGTTTGCCACTCTGATGATGTCGTTGATGATGCTGTTGTCACGCGGAGAGCTGTATTTACCCGTGTTGTCAGAGTCGAAGTACCATCATATATCAATATTCTTCTAGCACTTCTGTGATTACCTCCCTTGTCATAGGCAGATAGGACAACCGAGTACACTCCCGCCGTAGTCAGTGTGTAGCTGTTGGACGTCTGGAACGTGTACATATGTAAACAATACATACATCTGCTAACAAGTGAACAGGTTACATTCCACCTTTTCAATGCATTGATGTGCTTTGAAGGATGTTCCTGTTATTTGTAGCCGAGTCAAGTAGTCACACTTATCATTTCTACTTATTATCACCAGAATGTATGGAGGTAACACCCGCACACGCACGCACACACACATGCACTACCACGCTGCCACATGCATGCATCCACATGACACTTCTATTTGTATGCAACTAATCACCCTTGTTTTAAATTGATTTAAACAGTGCAACTACAGCAATAAGTATCTCACCGTGGAGCTTGTCAACGTTGTAGTGTCAACACGACGCTTAGCTCTGAGTACATCCCCAACAGCGTGGAGTTCATACACGTCCCTCACAAAGTGGTCGACTCCTGCATCAGTATCTGACCAGCCACTCCAGCGGAGGTTCACTGTGGGCTGAAACAAGTCATGGAATCATTCTTCCTGTCTACCATCAACATCGGGTGTGAAATATAACTGTGGTCATATACCTACAGACTTGATAACATCGGGAACAGTCAACATGCTGCCAACACAGGCAGTAGTACCAGTACAGTGATAGGGATCCACCAGGTCTATGGACACAGTAAAGGTGTGGGTCTGTGTGGCACCGTTGTAGTAGTAGGTCGCTAGTGTGTTTCTCTCCTTGTCCCGGACCTCCACATACCCTCCATTACTTGTTGAATAAGTGAATTCAATTCTGAAAATAATAATGTCAAAATCTTTATAGAAATCTAGGACATTCAGATTCCAAGCTTAAGATGAAAGCCAACATTTGAAATAAACAGCAGTGTCTGTATCGTGTACCAGACTATGTGTACCAGACTGTAGTTAAGTAGCAATATGTACTCATACAAAATACGTTATGATTGTTATGGAAACGACAAAAAATAATGTGATGAAATAGGTGTACTCAAATGTCAGGGTGAAAAGCAAAACTACCCAAACGTCCATTCTGCTAGACACAGTCTAAACTGTATACCATCATTTACGAAATCGTTGTTACACTCAAAGTCACCCATCACCTCCCCATACTCACATATCTCTGTGTTGGAAGGGCAGAGGGAGTACAGACGCCCCTGATGGGTTTCCTTCACAGGTGTACAGGTCTGTGTCCGGGCTGCTTCGCCTGACTCCTCCACAGTTATAGACCTTAGTGGAGACATCACCTGCACCTTGGAACAACAACACAGTCAGATGTGTGAATAATGATGTACGGATGATGATGAGACAAGAAGCACATGATCACCAGTTGGATGATTCATGATATGCTGAGCTTTTACAGTGATTCAAACACGTGTTCATGTGATAGTCCGCGGTGGTTTCTAATGGATGTGGAAAGGGTGTTGTCGCTTATATTTATAAATCAACCACCGGGTAGTATATGTCTTTGTACAGTCAGATGAACGATGTTATACCAAACTCGTTAGAAAATCCGTTCCAACTTTGAATGTATACATAATATGATATTTAATGCATATTGTGACCTCTTTTATCGAACACACCTCTCTTTAGTTTGAATGTAGCAGAACCACTGACAATGCCCACACGGAAGTTTTCAATGAAGGCATGTCTGGATGGAGGTACCATTTTGTATTCTGCCTCAAACTTGTAGTACATTCTGGATTGAGAGTTGATGTTTGACCAGCTGGTGGACTGAGATGGACCACTGTTGATGTCGGGAGGTGCCTCTGTCGCGTCGCCGTTGCTGGCGGACAGTCTTAGGAGGTTGAAGTGTATTGTGGGCTTCGTTGTTACTGTGACAAACGTGTACAAATATACGAACAGTGTACGTGTACAAACAATACGCCAAGCAATAATGCAATATAATTCCGTTGCTAAGACGGAAAATATGGGCATCATTTTATTTCGTCAAAGTCTAATCAGAAGGATGTATAGCTTGGTGTATTAGCCAATTATCATGTTAATCAGTAAGACAGCTTTGCTCATTACAACTGTATAATGCATAACTGTCAATAATGCGAAGCTGCCCCATCGTCAGCAACTTTGGATATCAATAGTCAAGGCATGGTTTTGGTTTTTCAAACCTATGTTTGAAATGCTTCAGATAAATGCCCAAGGGTCAATGGATATATTTTAACGAGGTTAGTGATAAGGTTACTCTTCTTACCCATTTACTTGCAATCCTGTACAATCAGAAATACTCCAGAAGCAAAGTATCACTGAAAATGATATGAATGTATCACTGAAAATCAGAAGTGACAGGAGGTCTTCACCAAGAGGTAAAGCATGTTTAGTGTTTGTGATGCCTGGAAGTGTCAACTTACTTGTCTGACAATGTTTCCCCGTGAAGCCGCTAGAGCAGGCACAGTTACTGGCGTACTCGTTCCTGCAGGTCCCGGGATAACACCGGGTGCTGTCACTCCGCCACGAACACGCCTCTGTAGACACAGATGTAGGGTCTAGGTTTTACAGCATGTTTAGTTAAGAATCTAAACCAGGTCTGTGTGGTGTAGTGGTGGAATATTTTGGTACAACATTTATGATCAGATTCAAGATATATGCAGTTAGTGTGAGTGTGTATGTGTTTATTCATAGCTCGATGAACTGGAAAATAAGAAACTGAAACTGGGGGTTACATGTTCTCACTTAGGTTGACTGGACTCTTCCTCTTATATTTTGACAGTTTCCATGAATAAAAGAACGTCGCCACCGTATGTTTCGTAACATTTATGATCACCTCACAATGTAATGTTTTAAGATTCAAGGTTCTTGCGGTTTGCGGGTGTGTTTTTGTTAATCATAGATCGATAAACTTGGAAAAAACTGTAGCAGGAACCTATAAGCACTCATTTTGGACATACAGTTGGCTCGTTCACCAATTGCAACTTACGTGTGCATGATCTTCTATCAGAAGACGTCACATACGCTCTGTGTCCTGCCTGGTTCAGCACGACCCCCTCACAGCGACTACACACCTGGTTGCTGCTGCTGGTGCATGTCTCCAGGTCACAGTTACTGATGGCGCTGCACACTGTCAAAGGAAACATAGGGTATGAACAACGTGAATTTCGAGTTTGAAACGGGCTCAAAGTCGCATTAAACGGCTGCCAGCTTAATATGACAGTGATGCAGTTTTCATACATTTACTTTGGTAAAACCACGATTATGGTGCAGACAGAACACGCAACAAAATCGAGGCGAAACGGGATTCGAACCCGCATGTTTAGGTTAAACATGTGCCCCAAGGGACGTAACTCTGCAAAACGAATGACTGCGAATGGCCATATACGTCACCCATATGAGTGAGTGAGTGAGTTATTTTTTAGCGTCACATCGGCAATATTGCAGCCATATCGTGAGGAGAACAATCTAGTATATATCAATATGAAAATCAATAAAGTTAAAAACCAAAAACCTGTCATCGAAGGACAGTAGAAATACTAGAGTATCACAGCCATATAAATTTAAAACTAGTACGCTATCGTAAAATTTAATCACTATAGACAGTACAACATAAAGACGGGCTATAGATCACCAACACCACCCATATGAATTGATCGACTAAACCTATATACACGTACTTCTGCAGCGTTCATTGCTGGGATAAAAGCCTTCATTACAGTTGGCACAGATCCCAGGGGAGGAACAGCTGCCCCCACTCTTGAACTGTGTCCTGCCGTTACTGTAGACGATGTGAGATGTGATGTAGTCGATGTTGCAAGCAGCGGACTGTATCTGATTGTCACATAGAGCTGCAATGTGTAATTAGAGTTTCATTGTTACATTATGTGGGATTGAACAATGTCATATAAATGTCAAATCATAATAATTCGGAGATGTGTTGTGCAGTAAAATGTATCTAGCTGGGATTAGAAGAAAGCTAGCATGTTACTTGTCCATACGCATCAGGGAGCCTCAGCATAAACTGTCCATGACAATAAACAGTCTGTGTATTTATTCAAAATACATTACACGGCCCGTCCAACCTAATGTTATCAAGGTATACAGATCATCAGATCATAATGATAAAAACTGTAGCTAGGGCAGACCTTCCTCAAACCATGTAGCACAATTCACTTACGATGTGGGCAGCCTCTGTTATCTGTTGTTCTGTACCCTGTTTTGCATCTGTAATTTGTGACTGCCCTCTGCCTGATAGAACAAAAATGTGTTCTCTTACGATGTGTTTGATATTGTCAACATAGGAATGTTCAACGTCATAACAGTGTTAATATCATCTGCTGTAATATTCTACCTATTCAGATCGGGTAGATAGCATCGTTTATATATGAAAAAAACCAAAATAAAGCAAAAACATTATGAATAACAACCATTCTTTTTAAGAAATGAAGTTTTACCTGTATCTTGTGCATCGGAACAAATAAAGAAAACCACACGACGTTGTGTAACGCGATGACCTGTAAGTTGTATACGCCTCTACATTTACTCTGAAAGGAAAGTAAGACTTGGAGGTATCATTATTTCATCGACTCATTAATGTGAACAACAGCAGGTGAATGGAGGTCGTATTTACTAACAAATATCAGCAAACTTGGAACTGGCAATATAGCAACATGAATACTTTTTTGTCTGTAATTTCTTTTATAGCCCAGCTTATTCTGAAGGGTTGATGCGTCCACTCACTCAGTGACATACATTGTTTAATGTTTTGACTCATTACTGTGAATGTGAATGTTATTCGCCTATTACTTGTGTCTCAATACGTATAATTCACTATGCTCAGATAAATGTGCACCTTTAGCAATATATGACAAGTAGGAAGAACCCCCCAAAACGAACATCAAATACTCAACTGGTTGAGCGAACAGTAAAGCCGAATAATTTGGAAGCAGGATTAATGAACGCCTGTCTCATTGCTGTAATCGTGATTGCGAGGACCCATTTTTATCTTTGTTAGCTCAATCTCGGAATTTTATCATATGGGGGTTCTATTTCACCCTCCGCTTTTTAATTTGTCAATTTCTTTTAAAAAAGTATCAAAATCTGCAAACCTCCTTTGTGAGTTAACCCGCTCTTGGCATGAGTTATCACTATGAACAATCGATAGCGAACATATTACTTCATACGTTGTGGCTTGAACAACTAGTACTGTTATCACGAACACAAACACGCACGTACGCACAAATTATTATGAAAAATTCCTTCTTACTGATCATAAGAGAGTTTAAGATTGACTCATTTGAGGGCAACAATTCATCAATACCAAGCTGAGATCAAAAAGTCAATTAAAGGGTCCAAAGGGTTTTACATATTCACTGTAACATTACCGCATTCAGCATGGTCGCGATCGCAGAAGAACAAATGACGCCCAACAGTAATCCATACCGACCTCATCCGCTTGTACTTCATTTCGGGACATGTTTCAACTCTTCTCAGCTGCAGGATTCAGCTTAAAATTTTAGTGTACTTTTTACAGCTTTACCAAATTAACTTTGATGACTAATCAAAACTGTCTGTTTTCTCTTGTAGCATATGATGTCGTTACGTGAGGTAACTGGGACAAATTCCGAATGCAATCCTCTTCAACAGCAAGGAACAAACGAAAACTATTTTATTGTGGAAATGTACAGGATATTTGGACAACAGGAGTTATGCTGCTGTTGCCGATAATTCACAAACCTTGTTTCTTAATGATCCATTCAAATATCCATACATTCACATGGATGCATGTGTTTTTTTCTGTCATTGTGTCTTGTTAGTTTGTTTATATCTACAACTACATTTAGTTTGGATGTTTTGGGCATTATTTTCATGCTCGAATATGTATTTGAATGGGTGTTATGTCACTGTTACATTTTTTCTAAATCCCTAATCCCTAAATAAGATATTATGTTTATCTAACGACACTTCTCATGACAATCGTAGTGTCGCAGTATCATTTGTTCACCTCAAGAATAAACAGCACAAAAAGTGATTTCAAGGCGGAAGTGTTTGCTCAGCCAACATGAATACAGTCATGAAATGTTACTCCATATATCTCTCTCCCTAGATTGTCAAATCCACTGGACCTGAAACTAGTCATGCATGCTGACACACGTCAGGGTGAAATACAAGTCAGTACCACGATAGTGTTGCAGTGTTCACACGGGTATAAATGTGGTTCCTCATACACAGATTGCATAACTAAACAACTAAACATACATTTGTTACTGAAAAAAGTTGTACTATTGGTTTGTTAAATCACATCAGCATAAATAATGCCATATTTTTCCTAAGGCATTAGCAAGTAGTGGGTTTCAGCGGCGGGCAGGTGTAGCTTAGGCGATTAGAAGCTGTAATCTCAGGTGTTTATGCAGACCTTCGATCGAAACATCGGTATCTCGTTGTTATCATGCAAGTTTCATTTGAGAACATATAATGCCTAATATACAATAAGAATAGACGAGAGGCTGTTCTCATCAACGAATGCTGTATCACCACACCTTGGTGGTGATGTCAGTCGCCGCCGAATGGTACTTACGTTTATGGCATTGTACGTCTTGTTAACAGCGATCCAAATGTCTTTATGTGATCCAAATCTTTGCTTATGAACATATTGAACCCATGTTATGGCTTTGTAAGACGACACAAGCATGAAAGGTGTTATATTCGATGGGGTTCCTGAACAGGAAATGTATTCTGTTATCCACTAATCAGTGGGAAAAGCAGGTAGATTGTGTAAGAGTTACGTTTGACTTTGTGCCAGAACTGAAAGAGATGGTTCCTTGTATGCTTCAGGAATCATCAGAATCAGATTGGGTGCCTCATGTGTTCCTTCTGTAATCCTAGTGACTACAGTCACTGGGAGTAAAGACAGTCTTGGCTTTGGCACTGTACTGTGCGGACGTGTTGCCACTGCTCTCCCATCTGGGATATGATGGATGTGTGAGGACATGAACCACTCGACAAATCAAATGGCCCAGGCTGGATTTGTGTACTTAATCAGATGGGACGCTTGCAAGTGTTTTCAGTATGGTCTTGTTCTCAAGAACGGGGAAGTAGGAGGCGGGAGGCAAGGACTATCTAGCAGTTATGTTATGCTGGACCCAAGAAGCTATACCTAGCTATTGAAACTGGATGTCAATTAAGACGTGGGTATTTGTATAACAGGCCACTTCAGAGTGTTGATTCTTAAATTGAAATGTTCAGTTAAAGTTTACCAAGCGTAGGTAGAACTACAGGAAAATGGGAATTCATTGGTATGTAATTATGACATTTAAATACACAGCTATCACTGGACTATGTCCTCTCGTCATTTTGGTTTAAATACCTCACCCGCGGAACATACAGAGGCATATTTCAAAAATACATAGTATTGTCACAGAGGACTGAAGTGGTAAACTGATTAACACCTTACTACGGATGTGTAGAGTATATCTTAAGTTACACAAAAAGTTTCAGAGTATTGCAGTCGTTGGAGTTAAAAGCAGATATTTTAAATGATATAAGTACAGGAAATCATGGAGGAAAGGACAGCGTGTTTGAGACAACCCTGGACGAAATCTGATAAGACGTGTCTTGAAAGAACATATATCTTGGCACATGGCAACATTGTCAAATATTCGATTTGATATGATTTCAAACAATATCATGCAGCCCATTTCCATGTATATAATAAACTGAGCATCAATGAAAACGCACCAGTCTAAAATTGTCCATATTTTCATCAAGATTTTCAGCATGACAATGATCAATGAATATAACAAACATGAAGTCCAGTTGAAAAAATCCTTTAGAAACAAATTCCTGTCCACAGTATGACTCTTAATTCCAAAATGCATCAACATGCAGCCACGCCATGAAAAAAGCGCTAATTTCATTCTGAAATCATACTGACTGTGACATTAAAAGCAGGTGTATGAGAACCAATTCTCATTGCTTCACTAACGATTGTGAAACGAGGACAGAGATGCCGAGGTTAACACCTCAAGAAAGAGAACGTGCACTAGGCATGATTCAGGTTGGCACCAGCAGCAGGGATATTGCTCGGCAACTTGGACTAGGCCACTCCACCATCGTTAGGCTAGTCGTAGACATGAGTAGACAGGCCGTAACGTTCAATGACCTTAGCAACAATGTGTTACGACGCTCCATCAGGATCGCCATATTGACCTTGTCCAGTGATTGAACACTGCCGACTGCCAGGACCTGTGCACTAGTTCATACTTTTCAACAGGACAACACACGGGCACACACAACAAGTATTTTCATGCAGTATCTGGCCCAGCAACACATCCAGGTTATTCATTGGCCAGCACAGTCGCCAGATGTATCCCCCATGGAGCACTTGTGGGACGAAATTGGTCAAAGTCATTCGCGGCGACAACAGATGCGAAACATCCGGGACACTTGAGACTGCACTACTGCAGATGTGGAATGCCATTCTCAAGAACTCTATTCGGACGCTATTGACTCAATGAGGAGACGTTGAACTGCATGTGTCAATGCAAATGGCGGTCACATGCGCGCGATACTGACTTTTCGATTTGCCCCCTCGTGTGTTTGATCCTTTCTGACTGTGGAACATTTCAATGAATGAGCGTCTTTTCTGTGTTGTTGTATTTGTCAGTCGTCCATCTGTTATTATCTGAACTGTTAATAATCTGAACTTTTATAAGTGGTGCGTTTTCAATGATGTTCAGTATATGAAGCTAAATACTTAATGAGTAAATATCGATAATGAGACGCCATTTTGCAGCTGTCTAAACATCAGTATATCTCACTAGCAATAGTCAAGAAAAGCCTTTGGTCTTTGAAACCTACAAATTTACATGCTCCAGATGAATGCCCAGAGGGCAATGGATATATTTTGACGAAACTTCAGTGATAAAACAGAAGTGTTTTCTTACCCATTTGCTTCCAATCCTGTGCTGAAATTCCACGTTGCAAGTGAACAGATCCAGAACACTATACTGTATTGTACAGACATCATACTTCCTTTCTGTCGATGTTCACTGAGGGATAAGCAAGAACCACAGTGATCACATGGTGGGCTTCAGAATTTTGTTATAGTTTGCGTGACGCCGCATCCTTTTTTGATAATTGTACGTAAAGAAGTGAGTGAATACGGTTTTATGCCGCTGTTAGCAACATTACCGCAACATCACAGCCAGGAACATGAGTAATGGGCTTTACACATGTGGGAAACCGAACCCCTGTTTTCGGCGTGACGAGCGAACACTTTAACCAGTAGGCTACCCTACCGATCCTGTACGTACCAGAACAGTCCTGGGTTATCAAATGAGTTTCATCTCTTTCAGAACCTGGGGGTTTGTTTTAGGCAGTGGGAGTGAAATGCCGTTGCGACCGACACTTGAAAAATAAGGGAAACGATTGCCACCCTGTCTATCACTCTGCAAGGTGCATAACCAACACCTGATGAACTCTGATCGTATAGTCAGACACTGTTTTTGAGTAGGGTACCCATGTCAAACAGAGTGGGTTTGCACCATGAAATGGGGTTAGTCTAGACAAACACACTCAAGAAGCAGCCACATATTCACATGCATGCTGTAAACAACGCAGTAGTCTTCAACCCGACGTTAAACCACTACGTTCGACATGACCCTCGTTTTCTAAATGAAACTTCAAAAGTCACAAACTGCAGACATTCGATCAGGAGACAATTCACGATTTATCGTAACCGCATTCAAGAATTCCTCAATGCATTTTAGCATATGTTATATGTAGGAACCAAGCTCCTCGACCGTAAACGAATAATGTCGATAGTCTTGATCGAAAACAAGATTTTATTCATATGAACACCTAATGTTATACCACATTGCTAACTACATGTGCACCAAATGTTCAAACAAAGCCATGGGCACAATGTGTGAAGCCCATTTCTGGTGTCCCTCGCCGTGATATTGCTGGAATATTGCTAAAAGCGGCGTAAAACCAAACTCACTCACTCACTCAAACAAAGCCGAGTCATAAAAGTTTGAAAATGGGGATACACTATTTCTAAAATTCGGATTGGAAACTCTAATAGGATTCTAAAGTATTGGTTACACGTACATCTATAATATGTAAAAATATATTCATAGATAAAGAAAAATATTCTTGAATACACATAGACTTACTTTTTTAGCTGAAAAATTATCACTCTTGTTTTTCTATACACATCCAAGTACTGTCTGCTTTCTGTGCATCTGCTACGACAGTGTGGCACTCGGGCTGCTGTACCCTGGGTTGTATACAGGTCTAACTGACTATGAGATTGTTGATGCAAGACTTCTGTACCAGGAAGTCTTATATAACGTATGGAAACTGCGGTTAACAAAGGCAGCATAGTATGGCGATACAACTGTACGCATTCAGCGTCCGTGTCAACTACACTCATGTTCAACACGACCAAGAAAAGGAAACTTGACACGACTGACATTTTTTCTTTACATCTATCGGGACCAAATGGGTACATCTGCTGAATACCGGATACCTACCAGCCATAGTGTTTAGTGTCCCATCCACATCTTATTATAGGAAAGCTCGAGCATCAAAATATAAAAATAACCATTAAAATCGGATTATGTGGGACCACTGCCAGTTAGTAAAAATAACCAACGATTTTGAAAATGAAAGATAAGTTGTAACAAATAAAAATATATGCGTTTTTGCGGAGCTACGGAATTTTGAATTTTGAGCGAATGAGCATGGGAAAGTTACTTAACACTAATCTAGCTTAACCAAAGAAGATATCCAAGGTCTAAAAAAGTAAGTACTCTAAGATAGTAAAGTACTATAAAATCGAGACGCGTTGCGCACATTTTCCACAGTTCTAAAGTATTCAGGACAAATCAAGGCTGTGACTCTAACCCGTCGATTTGCCGCATCAGCGTGAGGAAAACACGTAATGAACGTCACTGTTAACACTGCTAAAGTCTTTACAGTACATTGTACTTAGATATGCATTCATTTAGGGAAATAACATAAGCAGCTACACTTGTGGTGTTGAAATCCATTTCCCGGAGAGAAACAAGCATGGACAGTCACTCCTTGCGTCAGGCAACACGACATTATAACATACTTTACTACAAAGCCAGTGCAATTTCAAATCGGATATTCCTACAATCTGCACGTATTTTACTTACATGGCAACTTACACCTTCGTAATATACTCCTACTGAAGCATTTATTCAAAACAAAATGTCGGACTTAGAATTTGTAGTTATTGTACTGATGTTGGTGAAAATGATTGGTGACCGTTCGACAACTTGAATTGTATAAACAATGCTGTATGCTCCAACATATAATTGCATGTTTTCAAACAAGCTGTAACGCTCTACTTCTCGGTTGTAAGAACAACCGAGAATTGTCTACCCAAACACAGCCACCATTGAAGACATCTTGCCAAACGCTGTCAATACCATTTTACAACAATAAGCCGTTTACGATGTCACACGAGATTCACCTCCGTGGTATGTGTCCCTGAATAATGGTATTATATAGTCAAGCGTCGCTAACAAGGAAGTTTAAAGTAATGTCTTAACGATTGGGCCCCTTGCGTTGTTACTGGCTGTGTCAGTGTCAGTGTCATTGTTATATTAATAGCGCCCATCAACTAGGAAGTTCAAAGAATGTGACTCAGTTGCCATCGAGGTTGATAACATTGCTCAACATGTTCCACAACGAAACTTTAATCTTATCATGTACATGCTTCGCTGATTATATAATGTATAGCTGTCTGAACACCCAGTATGTGTATTGAAGCGACATACGTTATTTTCAAGTAGACGGATGTGCGATCCATGTACATGCTTTAATGACTTAATCATCGTCGTAATTTCATTCTTGACCTTTTGAATGGTCACGTGATCAACACAGGAGCATGTGAACAACACGCTGAAAGTTAAGCTTATCTTTTGATATGTGTATTAAAGTGTAGGCAAAATGAGTTACCTTCTAAGCGCACCAGCTTAGATCTAGTTGTGAATCTTGCATTACAATGCTATATTGAAATGCTAAAATTGGGAATTTATACCAAACCATTACTATTGCATATGCACTGAACCTAAGACTATCTTGATGACAAGTTTGTTGTCTACTCCAGGTAAACGATAGACGATGACACAGACATAACGCACATGTACTTGTATGATGGGTTGGGTGTGACAGTGATGAGGATAGATCCGCCAAGCACCACTATTTTCAGCTAGCCTTATTCTTCTACAGCCACAAGCTGCATCAGATCCCAATTAATGGATTAAAAAATACACTGAAATATTTGGATGTTCTTGATAAAATGTGGCCGCTAATTGACAGGGTTTAATTGTATAGATTTGTCATCAGTTGGACAAACCTTCTTGTAAACCAAATGTTGTCCTACTGCCTTCTAGTATCCTGGCGTCTCATTGCAGGCATGTCATACATAATCCTGGGTTCGAACCCAAGACGCTCCCTGTGTTTGATTCTGGCTTGTGAGCACCATGTCAAACCGCAAACGTCTAAGGCCCGTCGACGTACTTCCCAAACCCTGCTCAAAGCATGGTTAAATTCCGGTCTTTATTGGAGTCGTGGTATCTTTCATGTACTTTTTTGTTGTGTTGTATTTTACCATCATACTTGTCAATATTATCTGTTCTTGTTTATAAAGTGGTGCGCACGCTACGACGTTTACATGTGTTATCTGCGAGATATTTAATGTACTATTCGCATGGCAACACAACAGAATGCACAATAGTAACTAAATATATAACGAATGAGGAAACATAGCTATTTATTAATGCAGTAAAATGCAAGATATTTGCACCACCGAATTCCACCCCATTATGTTGCCTTCTGTGCATTACCATTGATTCTGTCAAGGCAGAGATATGGATGAGAGGTCCACGTGGTGCACGACGTGAATGAGCGTACCGTTTGCTTCCCTAAAACTGTTATTGAATAAAAACGTGGATAGCTTTCAAGTCGCCAGACACATAAGATGCGTCTCTCTGATCGTTAACCTACCTGCTCGATTGTGCAATACAGAGCCCAGCGACTCATCTGCTTCCCCATACATCGCTAAAATCACACAGTGCTCCAAGTTTGCATCTCCTTCTGCGAGTGCATTCATTGATTAAACATTTACAGTCTGTTGTGTTTATCTAGAGATGCTGTGTAGTACTGAAGTTTTCACGAGACGTCTGATGTGAACCCTACCGTAGATCCTCAGGACAGGGGGACGCTGTGCTATGACTAGTAGAGTTACATCCCTTACATCCCCTACATCTGGGGATGATTCCCACCTCTCAGTCTCTGAGTGAGGCAAACTAAATATCAGAACCAAAGGCATTGTGTATTCTTAGCTTGGATCATGGGAGCCGTTCACCTGTCAGTGGGGTAGACAAACCACGTGACCCAGACTACCAGTTGTCAGACTTGTCAGCTTGTAGAAATCAGTGGCTGAGTGGGTTAGATCGATGACTTCCTCGGTCGGGAAAGATAGGTCTAAACCGACTGCGTTTCGTGTATATACTTACTTGATCTGTGTACAGGAATAATAGTGTGAGCACATAGTGATAGTAGTGAATCCGAGTACCGACCCTCACCCAAGACAGACCAGTTGTGAGACCCTCTGTTCCATCTCGACCGAGGCTTATATATAAACCTTCACGACAAAGGATCAAGTCTTTAATACGCAGAATACAAGTAAAGCGCAGAACAGTTTAATAGCTCCAAAAGAACACCAAATAAAACCAATTAACAGTGGCACAGTGAGTGTATATATAATATATCACACAGTATGTATCATGGTTGTTGTCTCCAACAGTAGATTGATTGATTGCATAGTATACAGACATTCTACAAACGTCTGGATGGGCACATTATTATGTGAAATGTCCTTAGATATATACTTATCAAACCTGCAGAACATTTTCAAACAAATGTAAACTAAAATTATGCGTGATAACGTTTTATCTCTCCAATTTAAAAAAGAGAATTCTTTTGACACGTAAATCAAGCCATGACGTCGAGGAAATAGATGCCCATTGGGTTATAAACACTTCTGACAATTATACATCATTAACAATAATACCGTAGGTGTTGTTATAAAACAAGACATAAAAACAAGCTATCCAGTAAGCTACAGTGATGCATGTTGTGATGCCGATAAATGTGATAACAAAGAAATGACTGGTGGTCCATGGTGACATTGTAACAAAGAAAGGAAAGTGAAAGGCTAACTATGTCATGTGTAAACCACAGATGAATATATACCAGGTAGTGTTTCTACGAATTCAAGGAAGGTTACACCTGTGACGCGAATATGTTAATACAAAAGTAGGCATGAATATCGCGCTGCAATAATACTATAAACATTGTATCAAATTAATCTAGTTATTTAAGGATTGACTGTGTATGTTTGATAGAGTATGAATTAAACTAATGTGCAACTGTATGAATCCGCGTAGCGGATTCTACAAAAAGTTTGCACATTGGTTTTTAGTTTCATACCTCAATGCAACGAAAGAAATACACAGTCAATCCTTATAATTAAATTCAACAACAAATACTATAGGCTTTCAACAATATTTTATTTAAACACAATCAAATTCATCGAAACAGATATCTTTGTTACCACCGATTAACATTTTCGGTGTAAGAATTCGGTAATGGCGTGACATGACTCAGGTGACTCATTTACATAAAATGACACGCCTACCAAACCATTAGCCAATCAGCATAGAGCACCCCCAAACAGCTGTCAATCAACCAAGCTAACATCGGGTTGCGAATCAGAGCGGAACAACACAACGTGACGCGTTCCGGTAACGGCAAAGTTTCTAGTTCAAACATTTGAATTATTACCAGCGAACTGAAAGACACAGTTTGAAAAGTGAGAATTGGAAATGAAGCCCGATGAAATGAAGTTAGTGGAACTGAGATTGTTAGTGGCAGCAGTATTTGCGCAAGTGGAAAGGGGCTGTGACTGGGATTGCGATGCCATGAACTGATGTTCCAACGTGCGCATGCTCTTGTCGAGGCGTTACAATGGCGGAAAGCATCTCGCTAATTCTTAGTTTTTGAGTAGTCGTTGTGTGGCGACTATAACTACGCACGGAACTTTCATTCCTATGGCCGCTCATAAACATTATGTGACGAAGTTCAAAGCCAGCGTCACTCATGGCTTGGATTGCTGAGGCGCGAAGACAATGAGCAGTGTATGACTGACTACTCATCTACCGCAAATTCAAAGGATGTGGGCGTAAGCTGCTGGTGAAATTCAAGACCACGACTTACAAAATGGATGGCCAAGTCGTACCATACTTTGTACCGGAGGATAACAGGATTGATGCCGAATGCAGATAAGCGCTAATTTTCATCAGATCACTTGTTTCAATGATTTTAACACCCCATTTTGTGTTTCTTTGTGGATGTTGATTGTCAGTAGTCGTCCATTCGAAGTAAATCATTACTTGATAAACGTTTGAAACGATGTGTTTGGGATGGCTTATCATCGACTTGCATTGCACACGTCATCTCGTGATTTGCCGATGTTTTTGTAGATCTGGTTGATGCTGTTATCTCTAACAAACTTTCAATTTCTTCCAGGTCTAAATCATCCGAAAATCAATGTTATCCGTGTTAAGAGTTGCAACGTTTCCGGTAGATTGATCTTCGAAAATCGACTCAAAATTCCCCAGATCAAAACTTCCGTACCTGAATGGGCCATCGTGTTGAATGTAAACAAGACAAGTTGCAGACGACTGTTCGCTGACTGCACGTGGTAACCACAGTAACCAGTCAAATAATGTATTATGACAAACACTTTTTTATTAAATAAACACTTTATTAACGTTCACGGATAATTTTGAGTTGTTTGTTTATGTTTACCACAATGTATCACTTCAATGTTTATCCAAAGTTCATTAAGGTACCCGAGTGCAAGGGAATTCCCTCGCTGTGTAAAGGTATTCCCCGACATTCCTCAGGTCCGAAAGTAGTCCGGTTCGGTGGGCGTGGCTTATTTTTTTAGATTCATTGAGAAATGAAATCAAAAGAAATGTTCCCAGTTAACCAAACAGATTGCCAGAATTTTAATGAACACAATAAAAATTTAATTATATTAGCTTGTTGTAAACCCATATTCCAACTGCATGAAAATATATCACTTCGGACAATTTGAAATTCTGCACCAGATAAACAAGTGAATGACCTAATGAACAGAGATTCACGTCGTTAGGTTACGACGTTTTATCAACATCTGTGTTTTGTTTTGTTTAATGTATGTTTCATGTTTCATGCTTAACGCAGCACCCACCAATATTACACACCAACTACATAACGGTAACAGAGTAACTGAGTATCGATCATCCGAATATGGATTCGATGACACGCATCAACAAGGTCAGTAAGCCTGAGGGACGGTGAGGTAGCCTAGTGATTAAAGCGTTTGCTCGTTACGTCGAAGATCCGAGTTCGAATCTCCACATGGTTACAATGTGTGAAGTCCATTTCTGGTGTCCCCTGTAGTGGTATCGTTGGAATATTGCTATAAGCGGCGTAAAACTAAAGTCAATCAATCAATCAGTAAGTCAGACTACCTGAACTCGTCACTCGTCTATGACAGGCATGGGCGGTTTAGTTTTTTTATAAAAGATTTCTATATTTCTTAAAAATGTTTACGCATATGAGTTATGTGCGACTAATGTAATGTGATATTCAGATTTTTTCGTATATGTCACTTGATTTACTGTTCAAGGTAACGCGCGGTCGTTCGCCAATGTTCAGGTACATCTGATTTTCAACAGCTTCATATATGTTTGTTTTGTCCGACCGACAAGTTTGTATAGAACAGTATGGTTCTTGACCAGCTCCTCCATCGCGTGCGTTGACATCAAGCTTGTCATACATCGTGTCTTCAGGTTTTGTCTTTTTAGGCTTAGCGTTTTCAGATGGCCCTGTGTTGTAGTACACAGTTTGGTCAGAGAACTTTGGTTGGCCTCTGAAATACATAACCGCCATTGCCAATGTATGTACATCACAGGAGTCACTCAAACAAAAAAAAACAGTTCATAAATAAATACGGATCAATTCATTCTGTCAAACCTCAATTAACAAATACAGTTAACAAATCCAAAGTATAACTCCCCAAAACTATGTATTATGCTCAGGAACATGTTTTCACTAGTTAAACACAATGCCAAATCATTTCCCACTTTTATATGGCACATGATAAAACTGCCTTTGTATTGTCTGACGCATGAACTTAATTTCGCAAAATACCAATAATATTCAATCCGGTTTACTTAGATGATAACGACGGTAGATAGTTGGCAAATGATATCCTTTTTGAGACTATGCCCGAGTCGTAATAAAAAACCCACTAATTTAAGTAAGTAGTGGTTGAAGGAGTTAAAATTTTACATCACCGTAAAACAGTTGCTTGAGCATCACAGATTAGGTATGAAACAAACTAATTCAATATTAAGAAATATTACCTACTCGGACTATTATTTTGTAGAAATTAAAACTCAGCTATAGACCACTAGCAACCAAAGATAGACCACCTTCCCGGGGGTCAAGGGGACTTACGGTACTTCTGGTTCCTACATGATTCCTGGGAGGATTTACGTCAGCACTTTGGCCACCAGTGGCTGTTTGGTTACTTACATCAATGAAGTTGGACTCACGTGCCTTTAAGTAAGTAATTTGTTGAGCAGGCAGACACTACTAAGCTGAATGGAGTTTGAAAATAGATTCTGCGAAGTGGCATCATCAGTATTGGATAGGTTATGCAAACGTGATATCAATTTAATCGAATTGGGTTTCATATCGAGGGTGCCAGGTATTCCTGGAAAATACAGTACCTTCGTTTCCTCCTCCAGACAACAACTCCAACGACAATGCCTGCAACTGCAACGACAGCGGACGCTGTAGCCGACACCACCAGTACAAGATTTCGTCCGATCAATGAACTACCTGAAGGAAGATGCTCCGATATTAGAACTCCATAGCTTTATATTTATGACGTATTATTTCTATTATGAATTCTTGTTGTCAAAATCATTACAATTATTTATTGTTGTAAAAAATGAAAATGATAGTAATAAAAAGATGTACGCCTCTCCGTGGTGGGCCTAGAAAGGGAACCAAACTTAAATTACCAATTTAGGGCTAACCGTCCGAGGATCGCTAAATTCTGAGTTACAGATTGACATGAAGAAAGCTGTCCTACAATGCCGCAGCTCAGTCAAGTCTTCCTCCAGTACATAAACCAACCAAACTAGTGATGGGGACGTGCTATAAGGGGAGGTATAGAACCCGACTAAGAATATATTGTACGTAACAATTAATTTCCAAACGTCTTGAGTGTGCGAAAGCCACATGCTTGCCAGAAATCCTACAAATAAATTAATGACAAAATTGTTAAAACAGCACTGAGACAGAGCCATGCCCATGTTTCCATTTTTGACGGAGCAGAATATTTGCGACCACCTCCGGTATTTGAGAAAACAAAGCTAAACAGTTCGACAATTAACTGAAGCAAGAAGGGTATATCCTGGATAGACCTTTGCCAGGGTCATATGATATACAAAACTGATCCTGAAAACTGTTATCTCATGTGGAAAGACAATTACTTCACTGTTTCAATTTTTCTCGGGGATACAGGTGATTTTCCAGATTGGTAATGGAAAGGCCAAAAACATTTCTTCTAGAGAAAGGAGATTTGACTGACCCTCGAGTCTTCTGCCCTCGTGTCTTAATAGACAATACCAAATCTTCACAGGATGTTTGACAAGTCTCGTGCCATCCACGCTTTTCTAATGATAAACTTCATAGAAAGCAGACGATAGTAAGGAAGGGATCTTGGACTTGCAAGGATCATCTTCTTGTAAAAAGTACGATGTAAGGTTTGGAATATATCTACATACAGCCTGAAGACAAATTCTACCAACAAGCCTGATCTTGTCCCTTTTGACAACGCCAATGAATTAATAATTGTCTGTCCCTATTTCAGGTCCCATTGTTCTCGGTGCACTTTGTTTGTTACTTCCTCATCTCTTGGGAAGAGAACTGTTTGAGACCTCGAAATAGAGTGAGGAAGGAGATCCGGTCTGACTTACTTTGGACAGGAGATGGTTTGCACGTCTCCACATCATCTGAACAAACAACATCGCTTCTCTGCTGAGCCTCATCATAAGCAACCACAGTTATGTAAAAAATTCCACAAGACGGCGCTGTCCATGTGGCTTTAGTAGTGCGTGTTGATTCCATCTGCCATCAGAAGAGTAACACCAAAGTAATTACACCTTTATGTACCCTAATGGTGCTTAGACATGTGAAAGCAAACCCTGTGCGTTGGCATTACAGTACAGAGTACTTGGGTAGAACGTTTTTCTGAAACTACTATGAATTTTTCTTTATATATCCTCATGTGTCAAAATTATATGAGGGAGGACTAACGTTTTGGGTTTTGTTGAGGTCAAACTCGTGTCCCTGTACACATCTTGGTCCGAACGTGTACTGATAAAAGGCAATTGCATCTTCTCTATCATAGAATCCTTCCCAGTGGGCGTGGAGCAGTAGGTTGTCCTGGTAGTCGACTTCCGGTTGTCCAGACTGACCATCGCGGACAACGCCTGAATGAGGGGGACTCCCAAACACTTGGATCTAAACACACAGTGAATGCTGAGTTTCATTAACCTATCATTTCCATTGAAGCATATGTTTACAGAGCCAGGGTGCATTCTGTGTGAATGGTCAAATGGCAAAATCGCATTTATTCCAAACAATACAAAAGCGAACAAACCCAAACGTAAACATACATATTACCTCAGTACTACACCGATATGTTTGCCAAATGTGTTTAACCTTTTTGCAAACAGTGGCCAACACCCACTTCATAGAGTTTTTTAAGTACAAAGATCAGAACCAGAAAAATATCAGTTTGGTTTGAACAAAGTAGTTTCTATCTCTGTGGTGCCTTTTTCCGTCAGTGAATCATGTCACTCAATAATACCTACATTGCAGTCACTCTGTGGCTCATAGGGTTATCGTTGAGACAATTGTGTTGAATGTGACAACATGGTTTAGGGATGTGCACGACGGCTTAATACAAATGGACGAGTATAGATTGAGGGACCACTCCCTTTATGGTTGATGTTTGTGAAATGTTTGATATTTTGGATTTTAACGTTAAAGCTTGAAATAGATAACGTTTGAGCCAAACTTACATGTAACACATGCTATTAATGAGCAAACACTGTCCCTCATCACGATGCTATTAATACTCATGTTAGTTTAAATGCTAATCCGTAACACTGAATATAAACACATTTAACAGACTTGCCTCGGGATTAAAGACTTTACCAATGAAGGTTCCTACATTCTTAATATAACTGGTCTGTCTAGTTATGATTCCTTTTCTCAAAAGCACAATAATAAGCCCTTTTTTACAACTGAGAGTTGTTTTTGCTGAGGGTTAGGTTGTACTCAAACACAAGTGGCGAAATTGTCAGTTCAACTCTGTGGCATGAGTCATGTTATATACACAAATTAATGACAGGTGAGCACATTTAAGAATTTAGCCACTTGTACCTTTATTTCCCGTTCACTTGTGAGCTTAGCATGATTTGTAACTCTGACTAAAACCAGTATTCCTTTCCTTCAGCCAACTTGACGTCCTTCGTGTGGGGCGGTGGGGTAGTCTAGTGGTTAAAGCGTTGGCTCGTCACGCCGAAGACCCGGGTTCGAATCCCCACATGGGTACAATGTGTGAAGCCCATTTCTGGTGTCTCCCGCCGTGATATTGCTGGAATATTGCTAAAAGCGGCGTAAAACCAAACTCAGTCAGTCAGTCAGTCAGTCCTTCATGTCTTCCAGGGCTGGTTTCACTTGGAAGTGGGGATGATAACATGTACCAGCTGGAGTACAATAACAGTTACCATCCCTTGCATCGTGCATGGTGTTGCAGTCGTCCAGAGTCTGGAATCATTCGTTCATCAAAATATTAAATTTGATGACATTTCATTGGAGTTTTACTCATATAGAATTGTAATTATTACTGTGTATTGAGGTTCAATAGTTCGAAATACAAATTCTAAGAGTAATAATGGTAGACATACACGGGTGTTAGTTGCTTTTGTCTTTGTCCCATTGACCTAAATTCTGGACAGCAAGCGGAACCAGTCACTTACACGGTAGACTTGAGTAGAAATTAATTTGACAGATAACATCATATCTTCATCTTGCCGTTTTTGTACGAGTCTCCATTCCACCGTTTCCACGCCACTGTGTCCATCGTACACATAGAACTCCAATCTAGAATCAGAAAGAGATATTCGGCATAAAGTGTTTCAGTTTGTTTCAGATTTATGTCCTCAAACATCATTATTACACATCATTCTACTTAGTACATAGTCGCTTTACACAACGTTAAAACCTTCAGGATAAGATCGTGCATGCTGCAACGTCGTTACGTTTGGACCCTTACAGATGAATTATACGCATTGACAAATGGCGAAACTAGTTTCAGCATTCATACATAACATCATAAGGTTCTTCCACTCGATGCATACTGATATTGATTTTCTATGACCGGAGGGGATGTGTCGATCCGGACTGTCACATGTTCTTCAAGGAATTCTCGCCTGATGTCATAGGCTCGCACCCAGAAGCGTACAGTGTCCCCGCCCACTAGTGAGGGTGTTATGGTCTGTGACTGATTCAGACCGTGACTGGTGAACAGGTTATCAGCTGGTAGACTGGTAATGGACGACGCTCCTTGGTGGTCGACTTCACAGCATGAAGATCCCACATCACAGCATGTGCTCTGGTTGTGTTTAGAGTTTCCCACTAACATTTTCGTATTGAGTGGAGGAGTGAGTTTAGTTTTCCACTGTGTTAGCAATATTTCAGCAATAGCACCGCAGGGGCACCAAAATAGGCTTCTCACACTGTACAGATGTGGGCATTCGAACCTGGGTCTTTGGCATGAGGAGCGAACGCTTAATCCGCAAGGCTACCCTACATCCCTGTCATATGGAAACGTGCGTTTCAATAAGGTGACAATCTACATTTACTATGAATCATGCCGCCTGATTCTCTGTAAAATTATGATTTTCACCATTTATCTAAGGGAACCAAAGGCTAACTAGTATGTCTTGAATTCGAGTACACCACATACCTTGAGGATTTCTGACATCACCTGTATCTCTGCTTCCATCGTTATCATCATAGCCCGAGCCGATGTCACCCAGAGAAGCTACGCCCAGGAGCCACTTGTTGTTGTGGTGGACTGTGTTGATGTATCTGTTGGTCCAGTCTACTGTCACTGATGGTGACGTAGTTTGCCACTCTGATGTTGCTGATGATGCTGTTGTCACACGGAGAGATGTATTTGCTTGTGTTGTTACAGATGAAGTACCATCATATATCAGGATTCTTCTTGTACTTCTGTGATTAACTCCCCTGTCATAGGCAGTTAGGACAACCGAGTACACGCCTACCTCAGTCAGTGTGTAGCTGTTGGTCGTCTGAAACATGTACATATGAAAACAAAACATATGTCTGTAAAGTGAACACGTGACCACACACCAAGACAATTCACATTTCAAGATCTTTGAAACGATGAATCAAGTGGCAGACTTTTTCTTCTACTTATTATCACCAGGATTTGTAAAAGAAATGCACGCCCACGCATGCACTATCACACGACCACATGTAAGCATGTATAACTTAACATTTACTTTTTTCAAGCATCTAATCAATCATAAATTAAGCTAATGAAATATTTGAACTACAGCAATGAATCCCTCACAGTTGAGCTTGTCAATGTTGGAGTTTTAAGACGACGTTTATCTTTGAGGACATCCCCAACAGCGTGGAGTTCATACACGTCCCTCACAAAGTGGTCGACTCCTGCGTCAGCATCTGACCAGCCACTCCAGCGGAGGTTCACTGTTGACTGAAACAAGTCATGGAATCATTCGCACTGTAAACCATCAACATCAGGGTGTGAAATATAACTGTGGTCATATACTTACAGTCTTGATAACATCGGGAACATTCAGCATGCTGCCAACACAGGCAGTAGTACCAATACAGTGATAGGGATCCACCAGGTCTATGGACACAGTAAAGGTGTGGGTCTGTGTAGCACCGTTGTAGTAGTAGGTCGCTAGTGTGTTACTCTCCTTGTTCCAGACCTTCACATACCCTCCATTACTTGTTGAATAAGTGAATTCCATACTGAAAATATTATTAATATGAAAATATTTTGCAAATCATAGTTATGATGAACATTATAAGCAATGATACGCAGTAGCACTATATTTCGCGGGAAATGTAATCAAAAGTAACCAATTAAACGGTTCGTTAGTATACTGTGCATTTGTGATGTAAAGTCAACAGTGTCTATTTCACAAGGTTCCCAACATATGGGCACTTAAACCTCAGTGATTACGTTTTGAAGTTATTTCTGTGATTTGACGAGTGTTAACACGAACAGAACTCCTATATTTAGAAGCTTTTGTTACACGTTTACAAATGAATGTCCATCGTAACATTATCAAAAAGGCAGTATCACCATACCACGGAAACGAATATAAAACAAAAGTTAACTAACGTATTACCATAAATGTACTCGAAAGTAACGGTGAGAAAACCCTACGAAACAGTAACAATCAAATGTCCATCGTGTCAAACATAGTCTGAGCTGTACCCCTTCATTTTACAGAACACATATTTCAACCATATTCATCTGCCCAGCACTCACACATCTCTGTGTTGGAAGGGTAGAGGAAGTACAGACGCCCCTGATGGGTTTCCTTCACAGGTGTACAGGTCTGTATCCGGGCTGCTTCGGCTGGCTCCACCACAGTTATAGACCTTAGTGGAGACAACACCTGCATCTTGGTACAACAACACAGTCAGGTGAGTGAATTATGCTGTTCAGAGTGATGATCTCAGCAGCAGCAGCAAAACAAGAAGCACGAGTTCAATAGTTCTTGCAAACACATGGGATTATAACTGTTTGATGGTGATTAAAAAACCATGCATGCTCTTGGTAGAGTCGGAATTGTTCCGTCGATTCTACTTCATACTGTATTTATAGATTTACCACAGCGGGATAGTACATACCGTTGCAAAGTCATTTGAAGTTTACTATATTATTACACCTACTGCGTTAGAAAATCCGTTCGATCTTTGAAAGCATTAATAAGTTCTGAGGTGAAACGCTATATTGGGCATATTCACTTTGTGCCCTTCTGGCATACCTCTCTTTAGTTTGAATGTAGCAGAACCAATGACAATTCCAACACGGAAGTCTTCAATGAAGGCTAGTCTGGATGGAGGTACCATTTTGTATTCTGCCGTAAACTTGTAGTACATTCTGGATGGAGAGTTGATGTTTGACGAGCTGGTGGACTGAGATGGACCACTGTTGATGTCGGGACGTGCCTCTGTCATGTCGCCGTTGCTGGTGGTCAGTCTTAGGAAGTTGTAGTTTATTGTGGACTTCGTTACAACTGTAACATACACGTACATATATACGAACAATACGATAAACGTCAGTGCAAAATATTTACGATTTCGGTGATATTTCCAGTTCAAAAGCGTATATGCATATGGTGTCCATTTGATTTCGACAAATGAAGAGGTACAATCATTTGAAGTGCTTGAATATATTATGTCAGTGGCAGTAAATGACCAGTGTTGAATATCCATTGAGACTGATGCAAACAATCCAGAAACAAAACAACACTGAAAAGTATATGAATGAATCATTGAAAACCAATGATAAGATCAGGTCTTCTGTGAAGGTAAGCATGCCTTGGGCCACTGGCAACATACGCCATTCACACACAAAGTTGGGGTGTTCACTCACGTGTCTGACAATGTTTCCCTGTGAAGCCGCTGGAGCAGGCACAGTTTCTGGCGTACTCGTTCCTGCAGGTCCCGGGATAACACCGGGTGCTGTCACTCCGCCACGAACACGCTTCTGTTGACACAAATGTAGAATTGGCAGAATGTTCAGATAAGCATATACAGGTTAAACCAGCTTAGTTATTCAGGACTGTCGAAATGAAGAACTCCCCCATAGTATGATTCTTAATATATACATTCAAATATAACCTCGAGATGTAATATTTAAGATTTTTGATGAAGTTAAAAATATTACCAGTCGATCTAAAATGTGTTTACCAACTGGTAATACATTGGACATATTGTTGACTCGTTATTCATCGATTGCAACTCACGTATGCAAGATCTCCTATTAGAAGACGCCACATATGCCCTGTGTCCTGCCTGGTCCAGCACGACCCCCTCACAGCGACTACACACCTGGTTGCTGCTGCTGGTGCATGTCTCCAGGTCACAGTTACCGATTGCGCTGCACACTGTCAAAGGAATCATACGACATGAGCAACGTGAATTTCGAGCTTGGAACCAGATGTACCAGAAACTAGAAGTGATCGCAAGAGCCAGTGTCAGTGAGTGAGTAGGCTCGACGTTGTAACGGCGTGCCAGCTGAATGTGGGAAAAAAGCCCATAGTGGCGTTTACCACGTTGGTAAAACCATGAATATGGTGCTGACAGGATACTGATCCGTGTGCGTGCGCTGCGCATGAGTCGACTTGACCAACAGCGTCCCCAGTATGAATGAATCGACTAAACCGATATACATGTACTTCTGCAGCGTTCACTGCTGGGGTAAAAACCTGCATTACAGTTGGCACAGATCCCAGGGGAGGTACAGCTGCCACCACTCTTGTACTGTGTCCTGCCTTTACTGTAGACGATGTGAGATGTCCTGTAGTCGATGTTGCAAGTGTAGGGGTTGATCTCATTGTTACATACAGCTGCAATATGTAATTGTAGTTTCATTGTTACAGTATGTGCGTTTGAACATGTTAATTTATCACCATATGAAATCTGAGATTTACGCGTGTACAGGTATGAACCCAAGCAGAAAGCAGTCACCAAAACGCAACATGGTCCCGAAAACTTCGCAGCTATGAATACTATTCATTTTTCAAAGCTTGAAAAATGTAATTTTTGGACATTGATCCAAATGCTCGTGTACGATGGTGGTATAAATACCGATGTTGGACAGAGCAAACATGCAGTAACAAAACCACCACCACGAATATGCCAAGACTTACGCAAACACAACGAGACAGGACGAACGGTATGGCAACACGTGGGCTTCACAAAGTGAGGTGACAAAAACCTTCAACAGCAGTCAGGCCTTACCATCAGTAAATTGATAAACAGCTACCAGCAAACAGGTCAGACCCAAGACTGCCTAAGATCGGGAAGACCAAGAGTCACGACACCTGCCGAAGACAGCTACATCCATCCGCGGAACAGATTCGTGACGGCGGCGACAGTACTAGGACACACCATCAGCAGACGAAGAGTCCTTCGACGAATTGGTATGGCCTCTTCCATCGTATGGCCTTGATCCGTCTACACTATCAACGCAGACTGCAACTGGCACAAATTGTACGTCGCGAGAAAGTGACTAGAAGAGAGCGCTCTTTACAGATGAAAGTCGGTTCTATCGGTTCAGGAACGATGGCAGCGTAGAAGAGAGCAACTGCGTTCAAGAAGTTCATCCGTGAACCCTATTGAACATCTCTGGGATCATCTTGTTCGTCAGCTGAGACAGCGTGTACCACCTCCAGCGAACCGACATGAACTTGACCAGACTCTCTTACAAATAGACTTACATAACAGGAATCCTGCTGATGTCACCCGCCGACTGACAACATCAACGAGGAGACTTGTGTTGGCGTCTGTGGATGCCCAGGATGGTCACACTCGCTACTGATGACGTGTCCCCTGACTCCTATCGCGATTATGCACTTTTTGAATAATCTGTGTGTAATTTTTCCTTTTTTCACTCTTTCTTAATGTATTGCAGCAAATTACAACGACCATCATTACAATGAATGTTCAGTCAAATTATTGGAAAATGAATTTTGTTTGTACAATAACTATCATAAATCTCACATACGTCTTTGTTTCTACTTTTTGCGAAGTCGGTGATAACTTTCTTTTTGCCCCGTAGCTTATATATGGTTATATGAGACTAGCTGGAATTAGAAAAAGCAATTTCAAAACATTTTACTTGTTCAAAATTTTGGATCTTACAATAAACAGTATAAAGGTAACATTAGTTATGAGACCATACGTTGGTCCATCCAAGTAGCACACTTCGCTTATGATGTGGGCAGCCAGTGTTATCTGTTGTTCTGTACCCTGTTTTGCATCTGTAATTTGTGACTGCCTGACGCCTGGTAGAACAAAAACGGAGCCTATTTAGATACATGCACAGGATATTGTCAACCTATGAATGTGCAACTTCGCAACGGTGTTTGTATCATTTACGTTAATATTCTGACGTAGTACCTGCTTCATCTATGATTTGGTCATGTACGTATTTAGAAAAGGACATTATTAATCATAACCATTCGTATCAAGAAATGAAGTTTCTACCTGTATTTTGTGCACCGGCCCCGCTTCCAAAACGTACATGCCACTGAGTAACGTGATGACCCTGTAAGTTGTATACGCCTGCACATTTACACTGAAAGGAAAGAAAGACTTGGAGGTATGTATAAGTTAATCACCCTTACAAGGTAGTTATCTAAATACACGCGGCGAGGCTTTAGCCCGATCGGAGTTTATTTGAATAACTACCGTTATGAAGGGGTTAAACGGCTTACACCACGCAGACATACTGATTTAATACGCGTGTAATGTATTAGGCATGTAGAAGATGATCAAAATAAGTACAATTTTGTTGTTTTTAAATAGAAATAATTTCCCTAGGGCAGTGAATCAATAATGATAATAAAAACACTTCAAAGAATAATGGACATAACTGTCCCTATTGGTTTAACATTATTTCTTCACCCAACACACGTATTGATACTACATGAATCTTTATTTAGATGTGCCTACAAGCACACATGAACAATCAAATGAATGGTTCATGTGTACGAACAGCATCCGATAAATGGAGGTCTTATTCATGAACAAGTACCCGGCAAAGTGCTCACGCCCCTTATGAATGGAAATATACTGGACAAAATAAGTTAGGGATATTGGTATATTTATGATTGATATTTTATCAATGTGTCAATGAATAAATACATCATTAGTCAGAATTTCAAATTTACATATATCCCTAACTAATTATGTCCAGTATATATCGACGTTAACTTTTATCACAGTGGAATACTATTTCTTGTCTGTAATTTCTTGTATAACACAAATCATTCTAAAGGGTTAATATATCCCCTTGCTCAATGACATGTACTCTTCTAAAAAGAAACGCATAAGCCATTTTAAGAAGTTATTGCGTTAGGTTAAGAGCAATTATTTCAAGTGATTTCAATGTTACAAAGGTGGAAATCCACACGTCTATAGACAAAGAGTTCACCAACACAACAGCAGCCTTTGTTTTTGTGTTTCTGTTTAGTTGAATCCATAAGATGGCGTGAAAGTCAGCACCTTGTGTGGCTACCATTGACGGCAATTACTGCTTGGCACTGACTGACACTGACTGGATCAGTCGCTCTTGCGGATTTCTTTCCCACTCTTCCTGCAATGCGATGGACAGTTGTGTAAGTGTCCGAGGCGTGTTTTGACGTTGATCGAGTTCATCTCATAGGTGTTCTATCGGGATTAGATCTTTTGATCAGGAATGCCATGGCAAGCCATTGACGTTAGAATTGGCAAGGAAGCGGACCGTGACGCGTGCTGTATGTGAAGTAGCGCTGTCATGCTGGAACAACTCCCTCTGTTGGTCCATATAATCGGAAGCATGTGGCCGGCAAGAACTTCGTTGCCGTACCGATTTGCTGTCAATTTCCGTGAATCACCGCTAAATCAGATCTTTGTGTGCTGGATGTCGACTTGCCGAATGCAATTAGGGGCAAACAGTTCATTTCTCTGACGGTAAATACGCTGTCTTCCATCTGGCTGCTGAAGAGGAGATCGTGATGCATCACTGAACCAGACTCGCCTCCAGTTTTTTTATAGTTCTACAGCACCACCTCAAGCGATTGTGTCGATGGAAGTCTTTCAAAACAGGGACGACAACTGGCATTCTTTGTCGAACCCAGCTTCACACAGTAGATTCCTGACAGTTTGGTTAGAAATTTTTTCCCCACCCAGGGATGCGTTGTGCAGTCTCTATGGCAAGACGATGACGCAAGTGAGCAACCCGGATGTAACGGTACTGGGCTTGGGAGGTAACTCTTGGACGGCCGCTTTTCGGGCGATCTTGGGGGGAATTGGTCTGAAGGGAAGCAATCCCAAAGGCGAGATATGATCCTCCGATGAAATATCGGGCAACTGCAGGCTGCGAGTCCCCAGCTTCAAGGCGGTCTATGGCGATGTTTCGATTGGCGGCACTCAGTCGTGGCAAGGTGATTTAATCTTTTCCAGGCAAAAACGAATGGCAAAATCAAACACAACGTAGTTGATGGTCGGTATGGACTCAGGTGAAAAACCAAAAATACACCTGCGTGATTATACATTAAACTAAAATATACTGTGTTGCATTAAGTATCTAGATTGTTATACAGACACATATGTACATAGGTTCGGGTGGCAGAATGGGTAAAAAGACCCGTGAAGATCCGGGATTGGTCTTCAGCAACCCGTGCTTGTCGACTATGGGATCGGGTGATTTGGTTGAACCGTGCAATCACATCACATATTACGTAGATCGAACATTACTAACAATCGCTCGCAGCTGAAGGGATGGTTTAAATTCAGGTAGGGAACCGTGCAGAAAGCAGAAGTGTTGTAAGTCCTCACGGTCCCTAGTATGGTGCTAGCAATCTCTCGTATCGTTAATTGTTAGTATATGATATTATTTTCTTTGATCTAGTTTTAAAAAAATCTAGTAATTTTACTGTCCTTCGTTGACAGGGTTTTATAAATTATATGTATTTCTCGTGAATTTATAACTATTTTTAGTCACGATGTGGCTGAAAAGATTCCTAATGTGACTTGAAATCTTAACTCATTTACTCAGTCACGTAGATCGATGTTCATGCTGTCGATCACTAAATTATCTGACCAGATACGATTATTTACAAGCCGTCCATATAGTTGGAGTATTGCTGAGTGTGGCGTTAAACAACAAACCAACCAACCAACCAACCAAGATAGTGCAAACACTTTATTAATCAACTAGCTTTCTGCATCATGCCAACTATTGAAAATTTCTTAATCTCCGAGAAACGTTAAACTAATCTAGAATTTGACAAAGCAGAATTTAATAATCTCTAACATTTGCTCTATTTACAGCAATTACATCTATGCAACTAACAAATATGACCTCCATTCACTAATAATTTAATCCTGAAGCATTACTTGCACAAATCTAAACACACCATAATGGATTAGCCCATCTGTCCATCAGGTA